CGTGCTCTACCTAAATCGAAGCCCCAAATCCACGGCAATCCCGCTGCAGAAGCACGGAACCACTCCCAATACAACCTTTAAAATTTTAAAATCACGCAAAAGTATGCCCCTCTGCATGCCCGGACGCCTAGATAGAGATAACAGCAGCGACATGCAATATTGCACGAATTTGTCGCACAAAAATCACCACCTCCTCACGGGGACCGGATCGGATTGAAGAGCGCATCACCGGTAGGGATAAGCGAGAATCGAACTACAAAGACGCCACAAATTACGAAGAGATTACCTCGAGGCGGCCTCCTAGATCTCGTTGAATGGTTGGGGACAATTTGTCTCGTGGATTTGGGGAGACCATGATCGGTGGGGGGGAAGAGGACTGACTACCGACGCGAGGCTTGGTACGCAGACCGCCGTGCTCGGCGCCGAGATTTCCCTACTGCTTTGCGACCTACACTTGTTCCTCTAAATGGATCAGTGGAAACAGAGATGCAGGTGGAAGGGGAGTCGGAGGAGTTACCTCACCAGATATGGAAGGGAAGGTTGGTGGCGTGTAGATCGGGAGGTCGACGACGACTGCCGGGGAAGGATGAGCGCGCGCCACGCCACGGCCTCGGGGAGGTGAACGAGGCGCCGCCGTGGGCTCGCTGGGAGGACGACGAGGGCCGTGGATGCTCGATTCGGTGGTTGGAGCGCCGCCGCCGGCTTGAGGGGAGGCAGATGGGCGGCGGCGCCGCCGGAGGGCACGCCGGACCACCACCGGAGGGCGCGCCAAAACCCTAGCACAATAGGAGTCGGGCAGGAACCAGAGGAGGCACGGGTGGGGAGCGAGAGCGACAGAGGCGTCGGTGGGAAAGAAAAACGAAGGGGTACGCTCATAACCGGTGGCATTGCGGGTAATTTTTGCGAACCGTTCGCCCTCACAGTTGGAAAAAGCACGTCTCGGGTGGCTGTGGAGAATGAACTACAGAAAAGTCGCTTTTGTGAAGTACAACCGGAAGAAGCTCGTTCCTTTGGTTTAGCTTTTGACTTTTCTTGAAAGCAAAAGCAGTTTCACGGCTTAACCAAAGGAACCCTTTAACCTCTTCCTCGCTCTTTCAAAACAGACATCCACCGTACAGTATGTATGATCGTGGTACGAAAGACGTACGAGTACTGGTACCAGTATCACTGGCGCACCTTGTGAATGGGAGGAATCTACTGTCAGTTCTTTCAGCTTTTCACTCCGGTGTTTTGTCACGTTGTCTGCATGTACTGATAGGGCTTTATTAGGGTGAGAAACATGTCGGAGCGCCCGTGATAATAAATGCAGAACGCGGCAGCCCTTGCATTTTGTCCCAATCCGTGTATCCGACTCTCCGTGACTATTCGAACAAATCAACAAGGATTCACAAACAATAATAAATACACAAAGTGCAGCGTCATACTGTTTGAGATACGCATTTATTTCATCCCTGGAAATTCCATGCACTTCCACCCTCACATCTGGCCAGTGCTCCCACAGTCCTCCACTTGCTTCCTTCCCTTGGACAGTTGGACACATGCATGCGAGACCTCCTCCCCCACCCACATGCCAATTGCTTCATTGATCACTCGAGATAAGAAATCCCCAGACGGCGATGCCCATGCATGCATTTCCTCGTGGCCGAGAACTCGAGATCTCCATGGCCATCAGCAGCACGCCTTTTCGAATTTAATGCTCATCGTGCAAGATCACGACTAACCACTTTGCAGGTGTGGGCTTCTACTTCTAGAAGAGCCCTGTGGTAATAAATTATCGATAGACCGGTAGGATCCCTTGGACATTAGTATGAACAAACAAAGGCGAGACTGGCGTAGCATCCGCTTAGCTAAACAAGGGCTGCTGCAATTGCAACACAGCGTCAGCGTGTGACCCTCGCTGGCTTTCGAGGCCAGCCCGTGACTAATCATTCTCGCCGGGATAACGGACAACACCAGAGACGAGAAAAGAAAAGGGCCAAATGCTGCGCTGCGGAAGAGCAAAACGAAGGGGAGGAACACAATGATAGGGAGTGGTACGGGCCGCGCAACTTTGCGCACAGGTCAAAAGCGCCCCAGCCTCTTCTTTTCACCGCTTCTCCCCTCGGAACGAGACGCGGAAAAGCGGAAAAATAACCATATCCTGTCAGCTCCCTCCTAATCCCTGCTCCTGCTAACATCTTTAGGCTGAGCGCTCGGAGCAGACTCTCCGAGAGAGTCGCTCCTCAGCTGCCAAACGCAAAAATACACCCTAACTTCTTCAATAAATCCGAGTGAATTGCTCTCTATTCTGTGTACATCCGAGGGAGCTGTAAAAAACTGCTCCCCGGATTCACTCCCGATCCCCACCATCTAAGGCTACAGATCTCACCATAAATTTTTTTTTTGCATGAGTGTTAGTCCTTTACATGTTTGTGAAGTATGACTACTAATACTAATTCTAAGACATGAAACAATATCTGCACCACGAAGGAAGACACTGCGGACTGGTGCGTTGAGAATGTAAAAATTGTTTGCGTTAGTCCTTTACACTGCATGCAAAAATCATGAAATACATGGAGAATTTCACTAGTCTTAATTTCTAACAAAACCATAATGTATCATACAAATATTGGGCATACCTCAGTTCAGACAGATAGGGATACTATGGACAATTCCAGCAAAATCCTTTCTTTCAGGAATCACTTCGCAGACAACTTGCCAAACGATTTTATCAGACAGAATCAATTCTAACAAAGAATCACTTCACTGGTGGATCAGGGAGCACAGCTCTGCCAAACCTGCCCTTAACACGCAACACAGTTCGCAGCTCTCCACAAGGGGAAAAAAAGAAGCGTTCCGGTGCTCACTAGGTCGCTGGACCACGCAATCGCGCGCCAGTACAAGCCATGAACCCAACGAGTGGAAAGCACTCCTCTTTCTTCACGCATAATCCATCACCAGCCACGTTCCCAACGCCCGGAGCCCAAAGCGCGCTGCAAACGCGCGAGCGTCACGGGAAAAACGGACCGGACCGAGGCGGCAGAAACCGGACGTCCACCGCGTCCTCCACTCCTCCCACCCCCGGTTTCGTCGCAAAGCCGCGCGAAAATCTGGAGAAGCTGGTGGGGCTTCAGCCGTTCCGAGCAGCGCGGTGTGGGGGCGGGCGTGGGTGGCAGCCGGGGGCGGCGGGCGGGTGGCAGCCCCACCGCACCGCGCAAGGGAGGGAGGGAGGAGGGGCTACGAGAGGCAGCCAGCAGGCAGGAGAGATTCGCACGGCTCGCTCACGCACACACGCAAAACAACGCCCGCATAAATGCGGTTTTGGAGCCGTGCGGGCGGCCGTGAACTGTCCTCTCCTCTCTCCTCCCGCAGCGGCTGCGGGCAGCAAGAGACGACGACGACGCACGCAGAAAAACAACCGCTCCCACAGTCCCCCGCCCCGCCGTGCCCCTCGTCTTGCCACTGCCATAAGATGAAAACGGACGGAAACGAAAGAAAAATAACTTTATCGTTTTTGTTTTCATATTTTATCCTTTTTTTACGGAAACGGGAGCAGGAGCCGGACAGCCGGAAATTGAAACGCGGGATAAACGATAATACGAAAACAGGTACATATGATCGGAAAATAGACGGAAACAGACGGTAAGCGAGAACTTAGACCAGGATTACATGTCACATGAACTCTCACACATATATTAAAGTTAATAAACAATTCCTTTGCAAAAATAGTGAATAAATAAATAATTTAAGACACCTCATAAATCACTTGGACTAATCTGCTCATTAGCTTGCTTACCGTTCGTGCGTGTGTTGCTGATACTAGGCGCCTCAGCGCCTGTACTGCTACCTGTGTGCTATACGTCTATACGGAAGTGCTGCATGCCACATGGGCCACGGCCACACACCAGCAATTAATACTTTTTTTTAACACACTAACAGCATGGAAAAGTTCACACTAGCAGTAGCAGGCTTCCTACTAGTAATTAGCAAAGGGTACAGGATACGGAAGTTAGATGAAATAGATGGGCCGAAGTAGTTACGAAGCATGCCAGCAGGTTATCCTGGATAAGCTGTAAACGGGATGAATACGGGATTATCCTGGTCAAAAATGGTATTCCGTAAATATGGACGGAAAAACCCTCATCCCGTTTTCGATCCCGGTCCCGTGCATCCCATCCTGTTTCCGTATTTTCTGAGAAAAACAAAAACGGTCAGGATAAAACGGTAAGGCCTCATTTGGAAGGTAGGATTGAAAAATACATGAATAGGAAAAACATAGGAACGGGATAGGAACGGCATATGGAAAACAGACGAATGAAAAATATGGAATTTATATTGGAATGGGTGTTTGAATGATTGTAGGAAAAATGCAGGAAACGACAGTGCATGTACTGTCTTCTTGAGGTAAGCGAAGTAATTACATGTGAGCTAGTACTACACTATTCTATCTAATCTGTATCGTTTAATGTGTTCCTTCAGTCAAATCATCTCTCTACCTCGATCCTACGCGCGGTGCGATGAAAAAATGAGATCAGAGTGGATGTTTTGTTTCCCATGTTTCACTTGTGAAATGTCTTCCAAACGAATTTTTTCTCCAAAGTTCCTATGGCACAATCTTGCCAACCAAAGTACACTACTGTATCAATTCCTGTAGGAATCAAAATCCCATGTTTTTCCTATAAAATTCCAACATTCCAAATGGGGCCTAAACGGTTGCGGACGGAACGGGATCTATCCCGTCCGTTTTCAACCTTACACTGCCAGTCTCCGTAGCGCCCGAGCACTCGCTTTTTTGACCGCGTCCGCCTGCACTCTACCCCTCCTCCCCTCGCACACTTCCCTCTGATCCAGTGCCACTACAATACTCTACTGCTGCGCGCTAGCGGTAGCGCACACACCACACCACCACTCGCGCACAACGCCACCGCTGCTGCTGGCTCCTCCTCGCGCTCGCATTGCGACCTAGAGCGAGGGGAAGGGGGGGTGGTGCGCGTGCTCCGTGATCTGGGAAGCGCTGCGAGATGGCCGGGGGTGGAGGCGGCGGCGGCGGCGGCGCCGGGCCGAAGCATGACGACCTCACGCCGCACCCCGTCAAGGACCAGCTGCCGGGGGTCTCCTACTGCATCACCAGCCCTCCTCCGTGGCGTGAGTCTCCTATCCCATCGCTTCCTCCTCGGCTCCGGCCAACGTGCCATCGCTCCTCGGCTCCGCTCATGGCAAGTTTTTCCCGTTCCCAAGTTGCCTCCGCTGGCTCACGTCCTTGTTAGGAACAACAACAAACTCCGTGGCGCGGCCCATAATTTCGAAGGGGTTTGTTTTGGTCCCGTCTGGTAGGAAGTTGGCCGCGATAGCGATGCGCTGCTGCTAACAATGTCGCAGTTCCGCGCGTCGTTGTCAAGGGTCTGTGGCGACGGTGCGGTGTGGCCATCACACCTTGACGCCTCGCTTGGGTCGGCGATTGGGTTTTACGGGGGATTTGCGAGATCTGCCTGAGCTTTCCTGGTCTCAGTCAGTCCCATATAATTCTAAAAAGGTGGTTCGCCTTTCCGTTCCGCATGTCGCCTCTCTAGTTGTTTATTTAATCGGATGCTCGTGAATCGTGATTCTGCTAAAAGCTTTGACTCGTGTTGTTGCAAGTGGCGTATATCCACCAAATGAACTCTCAAAGGAATCATCGAAAGGAGGTTGTGTTGCTCTTGATGCTCAAGTTGCACACGGCTCCCGAATCTGTGATCCCGGTTCTCTGTCACCTTATTAACTGATAGCAGTGGTATATTCCTAGGATTGAGACTTCTCAGTTGTGTGGATGGAATATTCAGGAAATCTGGTGCTGCTTTAGAGTTCTACCGAGTAACTATGGTGTTAATCAACTCTTAGCGTTGACTCTTTCCTGCGTTAAAGCACATGCTCTCTGCCTTTTTGGTTAGTATAACGTGTCTAGTCCATGTTTATTTCGTTTGTAATCTGTAGTACACTATTGAATTGCTATAGACTGTGTCTATGCCAGTGCTACTAGCTAGCTCCAAATCTGGCTTCAAGTTGCTTTAATTAAAAGGGCTTACCCAGTGCAGAGAGCTCCCGCTCTGTGTGGGGTCTGGGGAAGGGTGTTAGTGGCAAGCCTTACCCTCACCTGTGCAATGCGAGGAGACCGCGACTCGAACCTGGGACCTTCCGGTCACAGGCGGTAAGACTCTACCGCTTGCACCAAGCCCGACCTTCTTCAAGTTGCTTTAATTCCCTGTATTATTGAGTCGGAGTTTTCTACCCTGTCATATGAACTGATGCATCTGTTTATATAGCATGCTAGTGGACGTGCCGTGGTTACATAGTTGTGAAAGTAATGATCTATTTGGTTGTCACTTTGAAACCCCACTACTGCCTTTTCTGGCATTTAATGTTTTACAGCACATCGCCACAAATAAATTTTGGGTTTAGTTCATTATAAGTTGCATATGACCTGCATGGGATTTTGCACCTACTGGTTGAGTTTGATCCATGGATGGAGGGGGTGAAAGACACCAGCATATTTAGGGAAAAATGATCCATTTGTTGTGCATTCAATTCATCGTGCTTGCATGGAAGTTATGATGTTAAAGGAGAAACATGTCCCAATCTTGGATCATCTGCATTTGTAAATAGGATTAATAAACTGAATTTATCGATTCAAACTTGATTTTGTGTATTTGTCTTGGATTAGCTTCAACATGTTTCCAATATAGTTGACAATGGTACACATATGATGCTGTCTACTACAAAAAATACTTCGCTCACATGCTTGAATACTTCAAAATTTTGATATGATACTATTGGTGAGGAACTTTTTGCCCTAACTTGGTTCTATGGGATTGTCTGCAATGCAGCTGAAGCCGTTCTTCTTGGGTTCCAACATTATCTGGTCATGCTGGGTACCACTGTGATCATACCAACTGCACTAGTTCCACAAATGGGAGGAAACAATGTGAGATTTCGAATTTTACTATTCATGTTGCGTTGGTTACTTGGCTCTAAGCTATCAATCTAATTCCTACGGTTCTTTGTGGTAGGAGGACAAGGCAGTGGTTATCCAGACATTGCTGTTCGTTGCAGGTATCAACACCCTCCTGCAGAGTTTCTTCGGTACCAGGTTGCCTGCAGTGGTTGGGGGGTCATACACCTTTGTTCTGCCTACCATCTCAATCATCCTTGCTGGACGTTATGCTAATGAACCTAATCCACACACTGTATGTTGAAAGTACTGCAATCTACCATTTTTCTGATCTTACTATCTTAGTTGTGTACACCTAGACCTGATCATTTACTTGTTATTTTTTCTGAAGAAATTTCTCCGCATCATGCGTGGGACACAAGGTGCATTGATTGTGGCTTCAGCCTTACAGATTATAGTTGGGTTCAGTGGCCTTTGGCGTAATGTTGCCAGGTAGGAAGATGAACAAATTAGTTACTGTATTTCTAATTTCAGTATCTGCTCCAGAGGTACTCAAGCAAGAAAGAATCTTGCAGAAGAGAGACGCATTACTCTTTCTCTCTTGAGGCCTTATGCTTTTATGTACTCGTTTTGTTCCAGGTATCTGAGTCCACTTTCAGCTGCTCCTTTGGTGGCACTAGTTGGATTTGGACTGTATGAGCTAGGATTTCCCTCGGTAAGCTTTGATAATTGTGGTTCTATTCGCTATTCATTCAAGGATATTTGCTCATGCTTGAACTCTAAATATCCAGGTTGCCAAATGTGTTGAGATTGGTCTACCTGAACTAATCCTTCTGGTGATCTTTGCAATGGTATGATTGGATTTCTATACATTTGTTTGTTGCATCCAATTTGCTCTCTAACTCTCTACATGTCATCCAACTACCATTTTCCTTTCTGTTCCATTTTTGCAGTACCTGCCGCATACTGTTCACGTGCTGAAGTCTATCTTTGACCGATTTGCTGTACTGTTCACTATCCCCATAGTGTGGCTTTATGCATACCTTCTCACTGTTGGAGGAGCATACAGGAATGCACCACCAAAGACTCAATTTCATTGCCGCACTGACCGTTCTGGATTAATTGGTGGCGCACCCTGGTACTGTTTACAGTTCTGGAGATACAATTGTTCATATGTCACCATCATTGTTGTCAAAATATATGATTAGTGTAACTTTTCCACAAATGAAATGACAGGATCAGAGTTCCATATCCCTTTCAGTGGGGTGCTCCAACTTTCGATGCGGGTGAAGCTTTTGCAATGATGGCAGCATCATTTGTTGCTCTTGTGGAGGTTTGGCTCGCTGCTCTTAGAAAAAAAATCAAATATTTCAGCACATTGATGCTATATGTGTGTTTGTATGGTGATATAATAATGATCTCACTAACTGGCTATCCCTTGTGTTTGTAGTCCACTGGGGCCTTCATTGCTGTCTCTAGGTATGCTAGTGCTACACCAATCCCACCCTCTGTTCTTAGCCGTGGTATTGGCTGGCAGGTACATGTTATTTTTCATCTACCACATGTTCAGGTTTTACTGGATAATTGTATATTTTAGTTGACTTAGAGCATGCAATTGTTCTTGCTTTAGGGCATCGGTATTCTTCTGGATGGGCTATTTGGGACTGGAAATGGGTCTTCTGTATCAGTGTAAGCACCAGACAGTACATTTTTAAGGAATGCATCTCATTTCTATTTTAATACAACTCTTCTCTTTAAGGAATAGATGTAATTCGGCTTGATACAGCAATTGTTTCCTTAACTGCAGTGAAAATGCTGGTTTGCTAGCTTTGACACGCGTTGGTAGCCGAAGGGTAGTGCAGATATCAGCTGGTTTCATGATATTCTTCTCTATTTTGGGTAAGTTTACTTGTCATGGGACTAGTATTTGATTCTTTACCAGATCTTTGAGATAGCAGATTTAAGCCTAACATGTATGATGGGACTTCAAAATTGGACTGGTTTTGTTTGTCCCATAAGCCTGTTATATAGTATGGAGTAGTAGTTATCACATAGGGCTCTTCCCTTTCCTTAATGAGGTTGTTAAGATTGTCGGTGGTGCATATAGTATACTAGTATATAGATCGATTGATTGTGTTCCTTTTGAAGTTTGAAGTGAAACTCGGACTCATGCAGTCTAGAACCGGGTCTGTCTATAGAGATATCCGGCAGTAGTTTTTTTAAGAAACTGAATTGTGGCGAATAATTTTCACAAGACACTGCTTAATCCTGCATGCGCATGCTTTAGACTTCTAGCTTGCACACTCCAAAAATAGCTTACCGACAAATTTGTTTCCATTTCTGTTCATCTTCTTTCTTTCCTCTTCTCTTCTTCCCTCCATTTTGATTACCATGGTGTCCTCCACCTCCCTCACAGCTTGTCCCTTTTGCAGCCAATAACACAGGTTCACCCAGGCACGCTGCTGCCCCAGCCAGCAGCACCTTGCATCCTTGCCACCCAACTCCTGCGTTCACCCCACCCTCCAATAACCATTGCAGTCGTTCGCGCTGACCCAGGCCTCCGCTGCTCGCTGCCGACCCCAGCCTCTGCTGTCGTGCCTACTGCTGCTGCAGGCCATCCCTCTAAGCCTGCCAGACATGGAGCCCTCCAAAACAACCCAGAGCCCAAATCCCTGACCCTAATTTGGTAGTCTCCTGATTCAGGCAGTTTCTATCTCACCCTCTGGCACCACATGGCTTCCTCTGTTGTGACTTCTCTGTGCGCTGCTGGGAGCAAGGAGCCAGTGAGAGTTTGTGATTTGTGCTGTGCAAGGAAGAAGAATGATGGGGCCTGGGGGCAATGGTGATTTCTCCGAGTGGCAGGAAGAAGAATTAGTCTGCTGGAGGAGCGTCAATTTGGGAGGGGATAGTCAGGTTGAGAGGCTGTGCAGGTGAGGAGCATTAATACACGGATGCGCAGAAACAAGCATTCCCCATTTTCATAACTTCACCACCTACTAGCCCCTAAGTTGATATTATGCCCTTAAATATTTTCTTTCAAGGCATTTAATTGGACCATTGCTTAGCTTGCAAGGCCTTTTGCCTTTAGTTTACTTGATAAACCAGCGAGTAGCTTATGTAGTGCTGACTTCTTAGATGCCTTTCATACAATATCTATAACTACAGAATACTGCCTCGAGTGTCAAGTCTGCCTGTGCCCAATGGGTCCAAGCGGGTCGGCTCCTGCTAGATCATTATTTCTAATTCTTATAACATTAGAAAGTGTGACCCTTGACTTGTCTAACTTAATTATGGAATATCAATTGTCCAATTGATATAATTGTGAATCTGAGGCTCTGAGCATGTACTACAATGGGCATCCGTATTAGTAAATTTGAGGAACAAGTGTCAATACAATATTATCCAAAAGGAGAATTTAATTGAACTGTTTTGAGAATGTGTTGTGCAGTTCTGTTAATTATCTCTTCTGTTTGCGGTTCACTACAATGTTGTTTACAGTACTTCATTGCTAATTAACCTGAAATTGGCATTCAATGGAAATTGCCTAGCATCTGCATTGCAATTTTGCATGCTCTGGTCATCTCAGAACGTGAATACTTATGTTTTCTGTAATAATCATGGGTCATTTTGACTACCCAGGGAAATTTGGAGCTGTGTTCGCCTCAATTCCTGCACCCATCTTTGCAGCTCTATATTGTATCTTCTTTGCTTATGCTGGTGAGCGAAGACCTTCAACCTACTTGTGTTTGTTCTATTAGTTCAAATTATGACGATTGATGCATCCGATATGTGTAACTGTTATGAACTTTGTCCTATTAGGTTCTGCTGGGTTTGGCTTCCTTCAGTTCTGTAACCTCAACAGCTTTAGGACCAAGTTCATCCTTGGGTTCTCAGTTTTCATGGGCCTTTCAGTTCCTCAATACTTTAATGAGTACACATCTGTTGCTGGTTATGGCCCTGTTCACACACATTCAAGATGGGTATGTAACAGCTGTCTTTCAGAAATCTTAGTGCTAGAGTTTAATATGATCATGTAATTAAACATAACCATCTCTCCTGCGTTTTCCAAAAAAAAAACTTACAGTTCTGTGGAAAGGCAAATGAATTACTAATCATTTGTCTTGTTTAATCTTACAGTTCAACGACATAGTAAATGTGATATTCTCATCCAAGGCGTTTGTTGCTGGCTTCGTTGCATATCTGCTGGACAACACTATTCACAGACATGAAAGTTCTGTCAGGAAAGACCGAGGCTACCATTGGTGGGACAAGTTCCGGTCATACAGGACTGACACAAGAAGTGAGGAGTTCTATTCCCTGCCATTCAACCTGAACAAGTTCTTCCCTTCAGTCTGAGCTTGCTGTGGTTACTCTTGTTACTCTGGACTGTCTATCCTCGGTTCTCTGTTGGTGGCACTGTTGATCTTTGGTATATGGAAAAAAAATTATGCTTCAAAAGGATGAAAGATCCTACGGCTGTCGTATACTTTATTTGGTGCCAAAAGTAAGAAATTTTGGTTACCCGTTTGTCGTATGGGAATAGCATGTTAGTTCATATACATGTTATTGTAGTCAAATTTCATCATTCACAAACGGGATTAGTGGAATGGCAATGTCATTGTAGTACACTGCTCATATTGTATATTGTAGTAATCCGGCCACCGCTATCTTTTGTAATGTTAACTTGGTGCTTCAGTGTAGCCTCTGCTGTGGGGTAAAATTTTATTGGGGGTCAGCATTTTTGGAACTGTAATTGGTCGTCTCCAGGAAGCAGACGTATTTGCTACCAAACCTTGTTGATTCTGTGGGGAAACAACATGAGTGGGTTCCTACGCCCTAGGGCCGTGCTCTTTTCTACTCCCTCCATTTCAAACTATTAGACGTTCTGGTTTTTCTGAATATACTTTGGCTATATGTTTTTAGTATGTGTCTAGTATCTATACATAGTGTACATTTAAGTCTATCTAGAAAAATAAAAACGTCTTATAATTTAGAACGAAGAGAATACGCTTTGCATGCGTGACAAATTTTCTACCGTTTGTTATTGCTCCCGTGACCCTACTACTGTTTACATGTGCATATGCAAGATTGCATCTACCAAATAACTTTTAAATATATAAGATTAGGGAGCGTTTGGTCGGGCTCTCGCCGGCTCTGGCTCCCACACTGTAGCGCGCAGGAGCTGGAGCCGGAGGAGAAAAAAAAACGAGTTTCTCCGGCTCCGGCGCTGTCAGAGAGAGAGGAAAGGAGGAGAGAGAAAAACGGCTCCGATGAACAGTGTCACTACATGAGATGAACAGGGGAGGAGCCGGAGCCATCGGAGCCCGGCCAAACAGGCTCCATTCTCAGCATTCTTCCGGTCGTTGAAGGCCGGCGCTAGCTTGAGATTTTGTTCGTCTAAACAATAGCATTCCCCTTGGGCCAGTTGCTGCCAAGAAGTGTACAATTGCAGGTAGAGAGCATTTGTGATCCTCTGATTCATGGCAGGCTGTTTCTTATATGTATTTCTCACATGATCGTATGGCTTCGTTTGTTGTGTTATCCTTGGAAACTGCTGAGTAGAGATAAAATATATGTTTATATACAACAGAAGAATGAAGGGCATTTCCTGTATAAACGGCATGTTGACATGGCTGGTGATGCCAAATCTTGTGGCATATACTTCTTCCGATTTGGTGATTCACAATAATCAGAAGTCGTCGTCGTCGTCTCTCATGTTTATCAGTTCATCATGGTATGGTGGGCCAAGTTCAGGCGAGATTTTTCTGCCAAAAGAATGTTCCATAATGGCAATTTAATTATATGCTCAACAACTAGATGATCTTTATTTTTGTAAAATGGAAGGCAAAGCTTCAACAACTTCTTCATCGAATTAAGCAGGCCTTTCCTCTTTTTTTCCCCTACGCGTCTGAATTCTGAACTTCTGAAGAAACAACGTCATTGTTCAAACTATGCTCGTCATTTTCGACTCGTAGGTGGAACCAATGAGCAAGCAACGAGCAGAACAGGCTAAACAGGGGGGCCTGATTGGCCCATATGGCCCTCTCGGGCCCTGACCGAGGACCACCACAGCCTGATCATTCGCTTGCGTCCGCTGATCGACAGCTAGGGCGATGCTCTCATCTCATGGCCTGAGACCTGACAAACGAGGGCTCGGCGGATGCTGCCATGCGTTACTGTACGATCACGGGTGTGGCACACCACACGCATCAGCGATGGACGTCAAGCAGGAAAGGCGACAGTGATGATAAGGCAGGTAGAGGGCCTGTTCGGCGGTGATGTGAAAAAACGATCGAGAAATTTTGTCAGAGAGAAAAATCTTTTCGACTTTCACACAAAGAGAGAAAAAGTGTTTTGGCAAAGACGTGAATAATGATTTAAACGAACCAACCGAACAGCGTGAGTGATGATAAGGCAGGTAGGGTTAGCACCCATGTTGCAATCTGCACACACGTATTCACGCACTCAGGGCTTTAATGTGTTGTTATTATCATACTTGTATCGAGCTGGTTGAACCTCATTGTTGATGGTGACAGATTAGATTGAGAGCGTTTATAGATTCGTTTGTACTAGACAGTCGATTTGTTCGCATGTTATATCTTTCCTCGTTAAACTTATCGGTCTAATGTTTTACACTGGTTATATCTATCTAGCCGATGATGTTATTTATATCTGGATGCATTGTCCTTATTATTATAAATCAATCATGACCCAATAACATCATAATCTTTAACAGTCGATTTCTCCTCGTATCGGCTATTTAGTCGATTATCCTGTTTGGCTGCTCTCGAAGCAGTATACTTGGAACTGTCTGGGCAAAACCGACATGTTCCACCCTAAGCTACTGATAAAACTTTATTTTCTTTTCAATTGCAGGTCAAATTGACTGGCACACCTTTCGGGATTTTCAGGATCGACTGGTCCTGTTGTGAAGCCAAGCAAGATCTACGGGTTGACCTCGCTCAGATCGTTCCGGCTTGCTGTGTGTCAGGCGCATCGCCACATATTTTTGCGTCAATACACGTTTTGGCACGTCCGATGGGACCACAATCGTCATGACAGCTCACAACAACAGAGACATTCTTATAGTACCTTATGAAGACTTACATGATGAGGATAAAGATGTCATTGGTAAAGCTATAGAAGATTTTCAAAACAAGTGTTTGTTGTCCTACACCAAGACACGTGACAATAAAGTTGTTCAGAAATATTCACTACCAAGAGTTTTGATACATGGACAGTCAGATACAGATGAAGCCGATAATAGATGTTTCTTTGTAGATGATATCAATAGATCTGTTCATGATGACATGTTGAATCATAATACAGCTTTCTTAAACACATTTCACAACACCATGAAGGAGGTGTTTCATGGATATCCAATTGATCAGATTGGACCGGCTTATTACAATATTCCACATACATCAACTCAGGGGACTAATCAAGCCGGTACTGGTCATCAAGAAATAGCACTAGCTGGCAATGATGACGTCCTTGTAGTTCAGAGCTCATCTGAGCAAGTTCAGGGCACTACTACTAATCAAATACAGTATAATCTTGGATCATCAGTGCAGCATGTGCAACAGCCGACAATGCAAGTTCAGAATTAAATGGTTAATTTTGGCACATCAGGCCAAATACCGCCGTCGGCTTAAAAAATAACACTATCAGTTAAAAGAATTCGTAGAGATATAGATCATAACATTTACAATCAGAGACTTCAAGCAGCAAGTCAGAAAAGGACTCAACAGACAGAGATTCTACAAGGATATCATTATAGCACGGATTATAATACCCTTCATATGATTCCAAATCCAGGGTATCAAGGTATCCAAAATTTTAATCCACAGATGGGTCAGCAATTGCAAGAAAATCCAAATTCGAATGCTGATGAGTTGTTGCTCAGAGTAACCGAAATGATGAAGAATCAGTTCGATTTAAAACCAAAAGAGCAGACATTTTGGTACAAACATCCATATCCAGAGTGGTATGATTTAGTTGCTCTTCCTACAAATTACAGGCTTCCAGAATTTACTAAGTTCACTGGTCAAGATAATACAAGTACAATAGAACATGTCGGTCGGTATCCTACTCAGTTGGGTGAAGCATCCATTAAAGAAGCTCATCGAGTTTGTTTTTCTCTTTATCCCGTCAAGATCAACTTTCACCTGGTTTTCATCGTTGTCAGTTAATTTTATTGCCAATTGGGATGACCTAGAGAAAAAATTTCATACATATTTCTATACTGGGACAGGAGAAAAGGAAATCACAGATTTGACGACCATAAGGCAAAGAAATAATGAATCGGGTGCTGAGTTTCTTCAGAGATTCCTAGAAACAAAAAATTTATGCTTTTCATTGAATCTGACTGATGATTAGTTAGCTGTTTTGGCTGTTCAAGGAATGTTGCCAACATGAAGAGGAAAAACTGCTTGGGTAAGAGTTTGACAATTTAGATCAGTTGGCTCAACGGGTGGCAGCACTTCATAGTCAATTCTAGAATATGCGCAGAAATACCCGATTTCAGAAGAATGTCGCAATTGCTGAAGCTTATAATCCATATTTAGCTGATGATGATGTTGAGGATGATGAAGAAGAGGAGATTGCTGCGGCTGAATGGAATTGGGGTAAGAAGATGGTGATGGTTCTAAATCCTTGGGAAAAAGGAGTTGAAGAAAGTTATAATTTTAATTTCTTGCTTGAGAAGGGACAGATCAAATTACCCGCCAATCATGTCATATTATCCCCTAATCAGTTGAAGAATAAGAAGTTCTACAAATTTTATAACACTACTTCTCATTCTACTAACAAGTGCATAATTTTTCCAGCAACATATATAGAGGGCTATTCAGCAAGGGAAGCTTAAATTTGATACACCTCGGAAGATGAAAGTTGATGATAATCCTTTCCCAAAAAATCAGAATATGGTTGATGCTAAGTTGCTCAAATAGAAGACTAAAGTTCTAACATCAACTAGGACAAAAGAAACTAGAACAGTTAATCTAGAGATGCAAATATCGGCTAATGAATATAAAGAAATTAAAAGGTGTCGTGACCAACAAAAAACCGATATAAGAGAGAGTGAAAGCTCTAGTTTGGTTTTGGTTAATTAATTAAACCCTAAGTGTTAACCTAGTTTATCAAAGTGATTATGAGATAGGTAGCAATACTCCAAGTGATGAAGCAATGACGAAGATCATGACGATAGTGATGGCATGGTGATGATCAAATGCTTGAACTTGGAAAAGAAGAAAGAGAAAAACAAAAGGCTCAAGGCAAATGTATAAATAGTAGGAGCCATTTTGTTTTAGTGATCAAGACACTTAGCGAGTGTGATCACATTTAGGATCGATAGC